TACAAGGTAAGGTAGAATAAAAAGCATATGTAAGTATTTTATAAACAAATTTGCTATGCAAATTTAAGTTATTACTATCATCCTGCCTGTGTATTTATTTGAAATTGAAAATGCTCTTTCAAGGAGCTGGTAATCTGACATTAAGAATATCATTTTGGGGGCGCCTGGGTGGCTTAGTTGGTTAAGCATCCGACTTTTGCTAGGTCATGATCTCGGGGTTCGTGGGTTCGAGCCCCACGTTGGGCTCTGTGCTGACTGCCAGCTCAGAGCCTGGAGCCTATTTCAGAGTCTGTATCTCCCTCTCTTTCTGACCCTCCCCTGCTCACGCTGTCTCTCTCTCCTAGAAATAAATAAAAATATTAAAAAAAAAAGAATATCATTTTGTACACCTGAAACTAATGTAGCATTGCAAGTCAGCTATACTTCAATTCTTTTTTTAAATGTCATTTTGTTCACATGCTTACTAAAAATTCTGAGTCAACCTCAAGTCGCTAAAAAGCACCATCTCCCTCCACTGGATAAAAAACAAGTGAAAGGGCACCTGGGTGACTCTGTCGGTTAAGCGGTTAAGTTTCTGACTTCAGCTTGGGTCATGATCTTGCAGTTCATGAGTTTGAGCCCCACATCGAGCTCTGTGCTGACAGCTCTGAGCCTGGAACCTGCTTCAGATTCTGTGTCTCCCCCTCTCTCTGCCCCTCCCTGCTTGCACTCTCTCTAAAATGAATACGTGTTAAAAAAAATTTTTTTAAATAAAAAAAAAAAAAAACAGTGAAGCAAGTAACAGGGGCATGGGAAGCAAAAGTAGAAGTGAAGAACTGCGTATAACCACATAAATGGGGCAGAGATACTTTATATAATTATTTGGACTGAAAAGTAAAATTAAAGGTCAAAGTTTTCCAATGGGAATCAAGAGGAAATGTTACAAATATCCATGGTATAATCAAAACTAAACACAACCTACAGCCAGTTCAGGAGGCTCAATAATCTTCAAAGTGTTTTCATACATTAAATAATCCTGTGGCATCCTTAGGACAGAAGAAATTTAATTCCCATATTCTAGTTATCTACAGAACCACAGGAAAAAGGTGAATGGATCAGGATGTGCCGTTTTAATAAGGCAAACCAACAAATATTTCACCAAATATTAAGGGTCCACTATAGGGGTGCCTAGGAGGCTCAGTCGGTTAAGCTTCTGACTGTCTCAGGTCATGATCTTGCAGTTTGTGAGTTCGAGCCCCGCATCAGGCTCTGTGCTGACAGCTCAGAGCCTGGACCCTGCTTTGGGTTCTGTGTCTCCCCCTCTCTCTGCCCCTTCCTCACTCATGATCTGTGTCTCTCAAAAATAAATAAACTTTAAAAAAAATGTTTAAAAAAAAAGGGTCCACTATATCATCAGCACGATATGAGGCACGTTGCCCCACAGACATGACTTATTTTACGGTCAACAAGACCTCAACCTTGTTCTTGTTCAGAAATAAACATTTCTTGGGGCACCTGGGTGCCTGGGTGGCTCAGTTGGTTAAGCGTCCGACTTCGGCTCAGGTCATGATCTCATGGTTTGTGGGTTCGAGCCCCGCATCCGGCTCTGTGCTGACAGCTAGCTCAGAGCCTGGAGCCTGTTTCAGATTCTGTGTCTCCCTCTCTGTGACCCTCCCCTGCTCACGCTGTCTCTCTCTCTCTTTCAAAATAAATAAAACATTAAAAAAAAAAGAAACATTTCTGAGAAATGGGTAAGAGCTATTAAAGAGCTATATACATACACTCATTGCCAGAAGTCACTAACTTACTTAAAAATAAATGTAAAATTAAGGGGCACCTGGATGGCTCAGTCAGTTAAGCATCTGACTTCAGCTCAGGTCATGATAACTTGTAGTTTGTGAGTTTGAGCCCCACATCATGCTCTGTGCTGAGAGCTGGAGCTTGCTTCAGATTCTGTCTCCCTCTCTCTCTGCCCCTCCCCAGCAGGCATTCTTTCTCTCTCTCTCTCAAAAATAAACAAACATTATTTAAAAATTATTTTAAATAAATGTAAAACTAAGATGACTTCCTGAGAACACTTCCCTGGCATGGCTATGTGTGATGTATGGGAAAGAGAGGGAACAAGGAGCAGTGGTGTGTTATTTTATTTTATTTATTTATTTATTTTAATGTTTTATTTATTTCTGAGAGAGAGACAGCATGAGCAGGGGAGGGTCAGAGAGAGGGAGACACAGACTCCAAAGCAGCCTCCAGGCTCTGAGCTAGCTGTCAGCACAGAGCCCGACGTGGGGCTCGAACCCACAAACCGTGAGATCACGACCTGAGCAGAAGTCAGATGCTTAACGGACTGAGTCACCCAGGTGCCCCATGTGGTGTGTTATTTTAAATAGGAGGATCATGGGGCGCCTGGGTGGTTCAGCAGGTTAAGCGTCCGACTTCGGCTCAGGTCATGATCTCACGGTTCATGGGTTCGAGCTCCGCGTCGGGCTCTGTGCTGACAGCCAGCTCAGAGCCTGGAGCCTGTTTCGGATTCTGTATCTCCCTCTCTCTCTGCCCCTCCCCAGCTCACACTCTGTCTCTCTCTGTCTCAAAAATAAATAAACGTTAAAAAATTAAATAAACAAACAAATAAATAGGAGGATCAGCAAAGGCCTCATAAGGCAACATCTGAGTAAAATAAGCAAGCCACAGGGTTCAACAGACAGAGAAGTTCCACCAGGCAGAGGCAGTAAGTGCAAGAGTCCTGACATGGATCATACCTGTTGCGCTCTCCCCCCACCCAAGATACTTCCCCCTTGGATGTCCCGTTGCCACACCTGCTGTGCCCTGCCAAATCTTCCTGACCTCCTGCCCTGCTCACCATGCTCTCCCAGGCCCACAGACCTGAATCCCGAATCACCCGGTGTGCGTTATTCTTTCAGCAATCAGTAACCAACTCACTTTAACATGATTACATCTTTCTTTTCCCCTGCATTCCCTACACCCACCCCCAAATCCAACTCATCATGCACACTATTGACAAATGAATGCTCCTTACACACTGTCTTCCTTCATCCTGTGGCTCCCGCCCCATTCCACGGTAGCTGCAACACCCAATGAACTGCCTTTCACCATCCTCCAGGCACACGTGCCCATTTCACTTTCTGAATCTTCCTTCATGTTCTCTCCTTTGACATGCCTTTTCTTTTCTTTTTTTTTTTTAATGTTTTGTTTATTTCTGAGAGAGAGAGAGACAGCGACTCTCAGAGAGAGACAGTGAGCAGGGGAGGGTCAGAGAGAGAGACACACACACAGAATCCAAAACAGGCTCCAGGTTCTGAGCTGGCAGTCAGCACAGAGCCTGACGCAGGGCTCGAACCCACGAACCACCGTGAGATCATGACCTGAGCCGAAGTCGGACGCTTAAACAACTGAGCCACCCAGGCGCCCCGCCTTTTCTTCTTTCGTATCTCTCCAAACTTCACCTTTTAAGTCCCTTAAAAGAGAGCTTTCCATGACTAGCCACGCCAGCTTTCACTGATTTCTCCCTTCTCAGAAATTGTAGGGTTAGGTATAAAATCTAGCACTTGCAGTCTCTCTCCGCCCTGCCCCATCCACCTTGCAAAGCACCATTAATATCACAGTTCAAACACTAATTCTGCTTTGTTTCATGTTTAGCCGGACTAAAACTCTTTGAGGAGAGGGATTACGGTTTTCTCTCTCTAAAAGAGCCTTGCGGAAAAGAGCACCTATGGTATTTTTAGCGCTCCCCTCGTACACTGCATTAAATGCTTTACTTTATCACGTTAATCATCACAGTTGCGTTACGTTATTGACATTCTTCTCCCTATTTTACAGAAGAAACAAAGGCACAAAAAGAGTTCAGGCTGAAGTCACATATCTTAGAAAAGGCAGGGCTGGGATTTGAGGTAAAGTCTGTCTCTTAAAGCTGACACAGAGTAGAGGCCGCAAACAAATATTTGTTGAATTATCCTAATCATTCATGTGTGTTGATGGCCAAGTCACTCCAAAAGAAACCATGCCCAGGCGTTTATAGGGTGCAGACTCTGGGAAGTACTGCCCTTCCTTGCTGAGTACCCGTCACTGAGGGGCTAGACTCAGTGCCAGGCAACTTCACAGTCAAGCACCTCATTTACTCTGAAACTCATTAATTGAAAATTATCTTCGATACACAGCGTTGGTAATTCCTCCATCACAGATTTACCCAAAATGTCACCCACTCTCAACCCGAGCCCAAATGCACCCAGGTGCTGTGTGGTACTACACTCCTTCTGGGCTTTCCTCCAACTCAGGGACGAGAACAAAGCCTCCCGACTCCCATCAGCCAGTAGCTTAAAAACCTCTAACCTCAACTTAAACATTTACCAAGTGCAAGGCCCTGGCCTTCTTGACGACCTTGCTCTTCATTCTAAAATTCATAACCTCAATTATTAAGCACCACAGCCCTGTGAGCAGGTGGCATTTTTTTCCACTTTACAGATACATCAAGCTCACGTGGCCGAGGGCAGATCTGGAACTAGAATCCAGGTCTCGATGAATATCCACCCTGTTCCATACCCTCAGGGGGCACTCAGAGAGAATAATCAACGTATACCGGTGTCGCTGAATACTCTTAGGTAGCAAAGGCTCTGCAAGAATTTTCATTCAAAAGATATTTACTGGACGCCTGTCAAGCTTCTAGGTTCAAATGCTACCTCCTCCACTTATTCGCTGTGTGACACAGGGAGAGCCGTTTCATCTCCCTGGGTGAATTTTTTCATGCGCAAATGGAGATGACAGTACCTACCCACAGCAACGTCGTGAGAAGTAAATGAGATGAGGAAAGCCAATCAATCGCCAGGCACTACGGCAAGCACACGGTGGGTGGGCATCTAGTACTTACGGGTTCCCTGCATCTGCCCACTCGGCCCCACCAGCCCCCGGTTCACCCACTACACCCATGCGACAGGGTATCCACTCGGCCAGAGGCCCTCACGCGGCCTCTGGGGTTCCCAGGCCCGTGGCCGGCCGCACTGTCATACCTGCATGGAGTCAGCGCTGACGATTTCGCCACCGAGCCGTTGGCCTAGCTGCAACGCCAGAGTGGATTTGCCGGTGCCCGTCGCCCCAAGAATCACTACAAGAGGCAGTGTTCGTTGCAGACCCCGGAGCCCGGAGCCCACAGACACTGCTCGGGCAGCCGCCACCGCCGCCATCTTGAAGATATCTGCGCTTGTGCGGGAGCAGCTGTCCCCATGGCAACCGCTAGTGCGCCTGCGCAGACCTAGGACCTCCCCGACCCCTCTCGGGTTAGGAGGATGAGTGGAGAGGTGGGAGCGGCGGGACCGGGGCTTCCAGGCTTGAGAGGCTCTCGACCTGACTGCCCTCAAATAGCTGGTACCAGAGCCTCAACTCTCGCCTCTCTCCTTTTTGTTTTTTTAGCAGCCGATAATCAATTTATTAAAACGATTTGTTTAAACTATCTCCTCTCTTAAATGGGAGATGGCAATCCTATCTCAAATCTATCCCTGTTATTTGTTTCTTTCACGGCACCTAGATCTTTTCTTTATGCCGCTAATTACAATATAAAATGATATACTGACTCCTGAATATTGTCTGACTTCCATTCCAGGCTGTTAGTTCCAAAAAAGGCAAGGAACAGATTCTGCCTAGGTCTAGGTCCCTGCTAATATCTCCAGTGCCTAGCACAGTGCCTGATGTGAAACAGGCAGTGTTAAATGGAGAAGAGAATGGTTTGCCTCTCTAGTGCTGGAGCCACTGAACTAGAAGTGTGGTGTTTTCCAGGATCAGATCTGCCTAGTTCTCAGGCAAGGGCAGCTGCTCTAAATGTTTTTATCCCACAAAACAAACCCAGACACAGAAGGAAGGACAAAATTTTCCATCTCTTTGGCAAAAGGATGCAAAAGATGGATTGAGAACAGAGAAAAGCAAGTAAACCACAAAATGTGAAGAGGAAGAATAAGGAAGGCAGAAGGGATAAAGGAGTTGTAACCCTCAGATGAAAGTGAGGACCAGGGGTGCCTGGGTATTCAGTGTCTGACTTCAGCTCAGGTCATGATCTCGCGGTTCATGGGTTCAGGCCCCATGTTAGGGCTGTCTGTGCTAACAGCTGGGAGCCTGGAGCCTGCTTCAGATTCTCTCTTTCCTTCTCTCTGACCCTCCCCTGCTCGCGCGCTCTCTCTCTCTCTCTCTCAAAAATGAATAAACATTTAAAAAAAAAAAGTGGAGACCAGAAGACCGAAATTCAAGAACCACAACCTTTAAGAAAGGGCTTTGTGATAGACCTGGGTTGAAATCCCAACTCTGCTACTTACCAGCTGCTGCATGACCTCACTTTGCCTCTTAGCCTCACTTTCTTTTTTTAATGTTTATTTCTATTTAAAAAAATTTTTTTAATGTTTATTTATTTTTTGAGAGAGAGAGGCAGAGTATGAGTGGGGGAGGATCAGAGAGACGGAGACACAGAATCCGAAGCAGGCTCCAGGCTCTGAGCTGTCAGCACAGAGCCTGTCGCAGAGCCCAAACCCATGAACTGTGAGATCGGAGCTGAAGTCGGCTGCTTAACCGACTGAGCCACCCAGGCGTCCCTGTTTATTTCTTTCTTAAAGTTTATTTATTTATTTTTGAGAGACAGAGAGCAGGGAAGGGGCAAAGAGAGAGGGAGACAGGATCCCCAGCAGGCTCCACACTCTCAGCACAGAGCCCGATGTGGGGCTCAAACTCACAGATCTGTGAGATCGAACCCTTAACTGACTGAGCCACCCGGGTGCCAGTTATATTTGTTTATTTATTTATTTTTAGAGAGAGAGCATACATGAGCAGGGGTGGGGTAGAGAGAGAGACAGACAGACAGAATCCCAAGCAGGTTCTGCACTGTCAGCACAGAGCCTGACGCAAGACTCAAACTCACAAATCGTGAGATCATGACCCAGGTCAAAATCAAGAGTCGGATGCTTAACCAACTGAGCCACCCAGGCGCCCCTTAGCCTCAGTCTTCTTATCATTAAATACCTCTCAGGATTGTCATAAGGATAAAATGGAGTTATATCCAAAAAGTGTGTACCACAATACCCTCACACATAACAACTATTGCTGAACACTTGGTGTTATTTTAATTGTAACACCCCATCTGCTACACTAAAGAGGTAAGAGCAGAAGCCCAAGGGCAGAGAAATTCTCAGTACTGTGTAAAAATACCTAAATATCTATTTTACTAATCCCTTGTTAGCCAATTTAAGGGTTAATTTTTTTCTCGATGAGATTATTACTTGGCTCTGCCTAGCTCTCAGGTCATATCACTAGGATCCCTTGGGCCAGAGGAATTACCCATGGAAATTTAGATCGTATGATAGGCCTGCCTGGAATAACTGCCAATACATTTCTCAATCACTTGGATCACTGCTGGCATAATGGGTACTCTTGCAGACCCAGCCTAAACCTTGTAGCCACACATATTGTTTGGAGAACATCAGAACCCAGGGTCCCTTATTCCTCTTTTTCTCTGTCCAGTCTGCTTTGATCAAAAGCCTGTTCTTTCCAATTTGTGGTACCCGCCTGGGGCTGGTTTTAAAATCAAGATGTGTGGCCATATATTGGCAGACACTCTCACATGATGGTTGTTAACTGTAGAGCCTTTGCCTGGAGACTTTCAGAGGGTACGGTTACCATGACAACCACTAGAAAGATGGCAGGCAGGAGAAATGCTGCAAATAAAGCAAAGGAGAGGCTAATTTCATGACAACAATCTGACCATGACAGAGTGTGCTCACTCACAGATGGGAAAGCACTGTCCAAGTCATGACCAGGTGACTGTTACTAGAGAGAGAAAAAAGAGGGAAGTGGAATTTACCACTGAGAGACCCAAAGAGGGAGAGGCTGGTTACCAAGACAACTGAGGAGAAAGGAATGAAAAAATGGGGCTTCACCACAGCAGCAGAAAATTGCTTCTAGCCAAGCAACACGGGACTGTTGCTATAGAAACAAAGAGAACAGGGATCCTATAGACCATGGGGAGAATTATCACTGAAGTGCTGAGCAGGAAAGACTCCTAAATCAGAATGGAGCCCATGGTTCAAAACAAATCAGGAGAAGTGAGAAAAACATCATACCAATTCAATTTGTTTTAATTTTATCAGTCCTACCAAAAGAGAATAGGAACATATTTTTTAAATGCCTTTAGGCTATTCCATTTGTACCTCTATTTGTCTCCCCAATGATCTTCTGAACTCTAAATTACATTAAGAATAGTTCCTTCAAGATATCTGTAACTTGAAATCGTAACTGGAGAGTTAAAGTTCAGGGGGAAATTAGGAAATTGAAGTCTATGACCAAGAGTTAATAAGAATTTCTAAATATTTTATATATATATACATATATATATATATACACACACACACACACACACATATAATCTTCTAATGGGAAGCTTTGCAGAGTAATAAAGAGACAAAAGGTACAAGAGAGGTCAAGAAAGCTATTTGTAGTCATGCCCAGGTATTAGCCCTGACCCCCTCTCTGCCTTCGGTGAGGCCAGATGGAAAGTAGTTCCATCTATTCTGAAAGATAACTCAAGAGGTAAGAGGGTCTTTCATTTAAGGTATATGTGTATAACCAGAGGTGGGGGAGGCAGAAGCCCGTTTCCAACATACCCCACTGCTTACAGATTATTAGGGATAAAGAATTTCTGGTTGAAAAGGCAATAATGCTCGGATAGGTTCAGTCCAGAAAAACACATGTAATATTTAAGAATAAGGAACTAGAGATACTCAAATTACTTGGAAGGTAATAATTCTTTGCCTCCTCTTCTGAAAGTCCACAACCAGCCACCTAATCATTATCTCAGCATGTACGTGTTGTACAGCGTCTGTCGGACCCATGTATAGTCAGGCTGGGCAACCTATGAACCTGCCTCACCTTCTTTAGGAAATCGAGAGTGTGGGGTGGGATAGGCATGAGAGGCAAAAAAGGAGAATGGGAGAAGTGCAGAGAGGTAGAGGGGACATCTGGGTGGTAACTCATTAGTGTTCATCATATTATTTCCTGCCCTTTGTATATTTTAAATAATTTATTTTGAAAAAAATTTTAGAAGGGCTCCTGGGTGGCTCAGTCAGTTAAACATCTGACTCTTGACTTCAGCTCAGGTCATGATCTCCCAGTTCATGAGTTTGAGCCCCACATCAGGCTCCATGCTGACAATGTGAAGCCTGCTTGGGATTCTGTCTCTTCCTGTCTCCTCCTCCTCTTCCCTGCTCACTCTCTATTTCTCTCTCAAAATAAATGAAAATAAATTTTTTAAAAGCCCTTCTTAAAAACATTAAAAAAAATTTTTTTAATGTTTATTTTTGAGAGAGAGAGAGAGAGAATGTGTGGGGGAGAGTCAGAGAGAGATTGAGACACAGAATCCAAAGCAGGCTCCAGGCTCTGAGCTGTCAGCACAGAGTCTGATGCAGGGCTCAAACTCACAGACCGTGAGATCATGACCTGAACCAAAGTTGGTGCTTAATTGACTGACCCACTCAGGCGCCCCTTAAAAACATTTTTTTTTAGAACAAATAAGAAGCATAGGGAGAAGACTAAAGGTGAAGCCATTTGAAGTGAAGCATCTAGAAAGTTCAAATGTTCAACATAGAAATCTAGGGATGCTGTGATGGGACAGAAGGAGGAACATGCCATGGGAGGCCTGAAACATCTGTTTCCAAGGTAAGAGAAGAAAGTCAAGTTGAAAACACTAGCTTTTAGGGGCGCTTGGGTGGCTCAGTCGGTTGAACCTCTGACTTCGGCTAAGGTCATCATCTTGCGGCCCGTGAGTTTGAACCCCGCTCAGGCTGTGTCTCTCTCTCCGCCCCTCCTCACCTATGCTATGTCTCTCTCCGTCTCTCAAAAATGAATTAATGTTAAAATAAAAAAAAAAAAAGAAAACACTAGCTTTTTATACAACCCAAGGAGCCCTTGCAGCCTGACCCCCATACTAATTAGTATTTTTTTTTTTTACAAATAGTTTATTATCAAATTGGTTTCCATATAACACCCAGTGCTCATCCCCACAAGTGCCCTCCTCCATGCCCATCTCCCCCCTCCCCCCCACATCCATCAGTCCTCAGTTTGTTTCTCAGCATTCAAGAGTCTCTCATGGTTTGCCTCTCTCCCTTTCCCCCACCATTTCCCCCCTTCTTCTCCCCCATGGTCCTCAGTTAAG